AGATCGTAACATGCACCTCACAGGATGGTTGTCAACAATAAATATGATAACCTATGGAAAGCATGCAGTACTCAATAAACAGTAGCTTTCATTAATGTTACTGCTGTTGTAATTAGTACTGTTAATCTTGGCTACTCACCATCATTCACCATACTTTGGCCCCTATCATCACCTCCAATTCTTCTAACTCTAGAATCTTAAATTTAGGACTCCAACACTACATGTGCCTATTTTTCCATCTCTAACACTCCTTTACTTCAATAAATCCTATAGCTTACTTACTGAGTATCTTCATCCTCTTCATTCTCCACATTTATCAGCCCCATCTTGGCTTGGCTTTCTTCCTTAATCAAAGCAGGATACAAAGATTCAGACCTTCAATTAGCAACCTCATTACCGACTTCAACTTTGTGACTTCACACTACACCCCGTCCAAGTTCTCCATCATTCCTTCCCTTCCAATCTCCATGCAGGTTCACTAAAACTACTTGTTTTTGGTACTGTTATAAAAGTTGCTGGAGAAAACTGCTTAATTATTCTGATTGGCCTCTTTCTGCATTTGTGATTTCAAGGGTATTGATCACTATTCAGCAATTAGGTCACTTGTCGCTGATGAAGTCCCTTTTCCAATCACAATGGTAACTTTTCTTTTCCCCTCACACATGCTCTTCTCAATCTCAGCAGATTAACTTGCTTCAGAGAGACAAGAAATGCAATCCTGGATACTTATCTATATCTGTATCTACTTCCTATTTCCTTTCCTTTTTAGAAGAGGAAGATGCATCACTTGTCTTCTTCAGGGTAGCCCTTTCACCAGGGCTCTTGTCCTCAACACTTCCATTTCCTCTGAGATTATGTCTGATTGCTTTCTTTCTCTTGTGATTTCAATTTTCTTTCCTTTTCAGTGGCCTTTTTCCCTCAGTCCACCAAAGTGTCCTTGACTCTTCCATCTCTGAAGAAAAACAAACCTTCCCTGATCACAACTCCCCATTCAAGCTTCCACCTCCTTTCCATACCAAAAGTATTTGAAAGAATACATTTACTGAATAAGTTAAGTTATTTCCACCAAACTGATGTGAACAGAATTTCATGTCTCCTAATCATGTCTTTCACTTGTATTTTTAAAATTAAGATCAATTACCAGCATCCCCGCTCACCCAGACAATCTAGAATCCTTACAGCCCACTTTGATTCCTCCCTCTCCCTTACTCCCTATCTAAGCAAGTCACTTCTCAAATCTCACTCTCCAAGTATTCCCAGGGCTACGCCTGCTGTCCTCCTCATATGGCGTTACTTCACTTCAGGGATATTGTAAGGGTAAAGTGAAATAATAAATGGGAATGTATTCTCTAAGATGTGAGGTGCTTACAAAGATTATTTAATATATTTTTGGCAAAGTGAACATGAGGTTGGCTTAATATTACTTGTTCTTAAAAAAACAATTCTGGGTCTTAGTAACCAGTGCTTTCTTTTTTCTAATCACAAATCATGAAGTATCTGCTTGGCAATCTGGTCTATTTTTCTAGGAATCAATCGATGTCAAGATATTCGATGCATAGTTTCTGGGCTTCACCTCCCCCACACCTTTTTAAAATTTAAAACATACAATTCCTCAGATTTCTGACAAAAATTCATCCTCTCTACTTTTTAAAGATGAGTGGCAGTAGTTGCATAAACACGTCTAAGTGTGAGTAGTACTCTATCATTTGCCTATTTCCTCCATTCATTTAAAGTGGCTAGAAGCTCTTTTATTTCCTTATACTTTTTGAGTTTGAATTTCAAAGAATAACACTTGAATGCAAAAAAATTACTAAACTTTTGGAAAACTGATTCCTTTCTTAAGATGAACACATTTTGAGCATTACTCTTTAGGATTATTAGATAAGACTTAGTTTTTTTCTTCCCAGCAGTTAGACCTGGAAAGCATTCACAATTTCCAAATGTATCAAGTCTCTCTCAATTACTGTAAAGCAAGGGCAGGAAAATCAAGAGGCACAAGGACAAACACTGGTGAGAAGTAACAGTAAAACAAAGTATCAAAGATAATATGGTGCTCCCACTGACTCCAAGATCAGTTTATAATTAGTTATTAATCTGACAGATTTATATATACTTTCAGAATATATTTAGGTTGAAAATCTGTTTTAAAATATTAGCTTATTACCTGGATTCTTAATATAAGGGGCAGACCTTAAATTCTGGGAGCCTGATATATTTTTGATACAAGTCTTACAGGTCAAATTCTGTTGCTCCAAATACTGCATAATTTGATGAAAAACATCTCCATTTAACATGTGATGACCTATTTATTTGAAGCCATCTTTAATGACACATAAGAATTAGGATAATCCCTGTATATTACTGACTTACTAGTAAAGTATTAAAAATATAGGTCATTTCCATTGTAATTTCACAAGAGACCAAGTGAAGACACATTTGATAAGATTTCCAAGGCTTAAAAAAATTCTTGAACTTAAGCAGGCATATAAACTTAATTCAGAAAAAAATTAATTGGATGAAGGTGTTCAAGTTAAATACAGCAACAAACTAAAAAGGTACTCTGAATCCTGGATGATATGGCTTGCTCTGCAACTGAAACTAACAAACAGATGCTCTGGGTGCGAGCAAATAAAAAGAAAACTATACATTTGGTGAAAAGAATGATTAAGTTGGTCCAAAACAGGTAATAAAATGAGCAAGGAAAAAAAAAGTTGGCAATTCGTGGGTGAAAATATTAAGCCTCTGTTTCGGTCAAGATAATGTATAAAGTGCCTTCATACAGTATCACTAGAATCTACTACTACTAATCTCCACTTGCATGTCTAATTTCATTATCTTCTAACCAACTCCTAAATTTCTTCCCTCCAAACTGCTCCTCCCTACCAAAGTGCTTATTTTAGTACATGTCTATTCCATCTTCCTACTTGTTCAGGACAAAAATGCTGGTGCCCTTTAAGCTTTCTGTTGACTCTACCCTCAATTTATTCAGAAATCAAGCACTCTACCAATTCCACTCTGCTGCAAGTTACATCATCTCTGGCCTGGATTATGGCAAAGTCCCCAAATGTCATCCATGCTCTTGCTTCTGCCCAACCATTCCCCCTAACCCAAAGTCTATTCCCATCCAGCCACCGGAGTCACCCTTTTAAAAGGCAAGTTTGATTATATCTCTTCTCTAGTCAAAGGGATGAGTTCCCTTCTTACCCAGAATAGAAGCTCAAGTCCTTAAAGAGACCTATAAGACCTTACACAATCTTACTTCCTGTTCCCACTCACCCCTCTGACTTCATTTCTACTACTCTTACTTTGCTCACTCCACCACAGCCAGATGAGCCTCTCAGTTGTCCTCAAACATGCCCAGTACACTCCTGCCTCAAAGCTTTCACAATTGCCTTTCCCTGTCCACGTGAACACTTTTCCTCCACAGAGGTGCATAGATTACTTCCTTCCGGTCTTGGGCCCAAATGTCATTTTCTTCGGGAAATCTTTCCTGGCTACCTCTAGTTAAAACTGCAACCTTACCCGGTTCCCTATCCTCCTTTTTCCTTGTTTTTTCTTTATAGTCCTTAATGTCATCTGACATAGCACATATTTTATTTGTTCATTATCTGAGATCTCCCACTAGAATGTAAGCTCCATAAAGGAGGGGAGATTTCTATTTAGAAAACTGGCACACAGGAGTGCTCACTAAACGTTTACTAAATTTATATATAATTTTATCATTTACAAATTGCTTTCACGTACATTCAATTATATAGTAACTCATCTTACACCTCCTCTTCTCCAAATTCTCCAATCTTTGCACTTACAATATGACAGCAAAGAGCTATCAGAAAAAAAAGTTGCTAGCTACTTGTAAAACTCTGTAAAACAGAAACTTTTATATTAATTAACTACTTCTATAAAATGAAAGCTCAGAGTCAACATCTTTATTAGCATAAGGTTTCTGGGTGTGGAAGTTTAAAGTAATAGTCGAATAGCCAAGAATCATCAGGAGGAAAAGACCAACTCAGTTTGTCCTATCAATCTGCTAAACAAACCCTAGGGAAAAGGTGAGCTGAATTCAATATTGGAGGAAACTTTGGTCCTAATTTAACACCAACGTATTCAACACAACATTCAATTGCCTTAAAATTTTCTATCTGCTTTAAACAAACCTCATCAACTACCAAGAGCCGTCGCTGGGTGTGTATGGTTTGCTGAGCAAATTGGCTATGTTTTGTTTTGTTTAACCCTTAAGAATCAGGTCTAGGGAGCGTTCTTAACACCTTAGTCCCTCCACCATTACACGACGTGCTGGCCTCCACACTGAGGTGCCGGGGTCTTTCTGGGTTATTTCCCATACAATTTAATCCCACCAGGGGCAAGGGGGCAACTCAGCCAAGGTTCCAAGGATGCCCAGGGCAGACAGCAGGTATCTCTGAGGATCCGCAGGAGAGTCTCTCAACTGGGCAAAGGGTGTCAGAGACAGGGGCAAAGCAGCAGACCATGGCGCACGGGGTAGATGACTGGTAGGCGTAGATGACTGGTAGGCGAGCACCGCGGGACAAGAGGGCAAGGTGCGAACGCAGGGGTGGTGGCGACGACACTGTCAACTGCGGTCGTAAACCTGCCAGTCTGGTCAGGTCGGGGTCGGGGGAGTGCCGCAGCGCAGGATACTAAATACAACCAAGACAGCCGCAAATCGGCGCCAGCCTACTCGTCCACCGACGCACTCGCGTTCCGGGAAATACAGTTAGTGGCCGGAGGCCGCACGGCCCCGGAGAGGTCCGGAGGGGTCGAGCGGAGCTCCAGTCCGCGACTCAGCTGCTGTCAAAGGCTGCCCAGGAGCAGCGGGGACACCACCCCGGAGCGCCACGAAGCCCGGGCCGGGCGTCGATCAGAATCCTTCGCGCCCCTCAGCTCTGGCTGCCACCCCCTCGACCCCCAATCTACTTCCCTCCAGACCACCGACCCCAAGTCCTCTGCCGGCATTGTCGGCGCCAGGCTGCCGCCCTTACCTGCTCCGTGGCCGCCGCGCGCTTCCCTCACCGGGAGAATCCAGGGTCGTTGTTGCTCCTGCAGCAGCCGCCCGTGCAGCAGCGAACTCCCAACCCCCGCCCCCTCAGGTAACCCAGGACACCGGGAACACCAACCACTCTCCCACCCGGGCCAGACCCAGACCCTCTTGTCTGCGCGTGCGCACTTGCCCCGCCTCGCGCGTCCCGGGCCCCGCCCCTCACTGGTTGGGCAGCCTTGGCGTCGCACACATGACGCAAGACCCCCAAACCAATGGGGAAGGGAGGAGTCCAGCTGCGCCACCGCGCGGGGGGCGTGGGCTTCCCCCTTGCCCCGGGAAGGTTGTCCCACGATTTCACCCTCCCAGAGCTGCCAGACGCCGGGGAGAACGCGCTTCAATTGAAAAGCGTCAACACTTGCGCAGTCCCCGCTAACACCTCTCAACAGAGTGTTATTCTCTCCCTCTTGTGTGGGTCCAGAGAATGCGGGTAGAGGAAATGTGGGAAGGGGTCCGGGAGAGGGGGGAAGCGTTACCCATGAGGAGCCCTGTCTTTCCTCTTGGGCCTGGAAATAGCCATTTTGCAAAGGTTATTGTAAGCTCTTTCAAGAAACTTAGGGAGGTTTACAAAGCCCCTGTAGAATTAATTCAGCGCAAAGGTGTATTTTTCAACTTAGCCCTCTGCAAACACATTTGTATACAGCGCACTATCAACGTTATGTGCCTTAAAAGTAGTGCCTCCATTGTTCTGAGTGTATAGGATTTTAGTGACTGACCTGCCACCATGGAAATAAAGTTGAGTATAACCCTTTCACCCGCCCCCCGCCCCCAAAAAATAAAAAAGTAGTGCCTCCAGAGGGTGGGAGCCGCAGGTTAAATACAAGGATGTTGCCTGCATCAGTGACTGCCGGGCCCAGCATACGGCTGGCAGGCTGCTGCCGCCGGCAGTATGGCCTTTTAGAGGACACCCTTCATCACCAGGTCACTGTGACAGGCCTTCTGGTAGAATGTCAGAGATACTGGGAAAGAGCCTAAACCTTAAGGTCTGAGGGTCCGGGGTCTACCTAACAATACAAACTATAAGCTGATGGTTTACAAATCGACGGGAATTACTTTAGAGTCAACTGTTCCAGTAATTTTTGCACAGTAATTCAGGATATTACCTCCTAAGGCTATATCCCAAGTGCAGCTTTTAATACTTCAAACTCCCATCTTACCCAATGACAAGGTAAGTTGTTGCCCAGTGATGTGGTTTGAAGAGGCTGTCAGGGAAAATTCCCCCTTTAAAATATTTCCCCACTGACATCTGAAGTTCAGCCGTTAGCAGTTCATACCTCTGGGCAGAGGTTACCCACTTCCTCTGGCAAGCTTAAAAATGCAAATACTCCAGAGATGAGCAACAGACAGGAAGTTCCTAACAAGTTACTGAAAGATGTCTCCGAAATCATCACTCATTTGAAACATATTATGAGGACCTACTATGTGCTAGGTACTGTGCCAAGTACTGAAGATACTTTGGTGAATTTCCCTGAATTTAAAGAGGAAGCGGAAACCAAACTTGATCTGTTTCACAGTTTAGCTTTGGACTGAAACTGCTCTTATATACACATCAACTTTGACACATTACTCCGAAAACCACCTTTTTTTCTTAATGGACAAAAGAAGTCACAGCAATGTTAAATAACAAGTCAATTTCTGTTTTTCTGACTGGAATATGTGATCATGATCTTGTTAAAGCCAAACAGATTGAAACAGACTTTCTGTGACAATGGTGCACGATTGACCCTCAAATTATTTTTAAAAGGCACAAAGTAAAGTCCTTTCTCCTTAGATCAGAGTTATAAAGTATTTTAACCAAGCTACCACAGTATTGACTTTGTTAAGACCATCAAGAGTTTCTTAGAACATAGATATTCCATATACATATATACATAGATAAAAGTTAAAAGTCAAATGAACAACAAATGTCAAGTGTAATCAAGCACATGCAATAGAAGAAAGAGTAGAGAAAAAGTAATAGATATATAAAAGGAAGCTCTATTAATCAATATCATACACTGGAAAATTTTGTTAAGTGGGAAATTCTCCACATAGTTGACTCTAAAATTAGATTCTAAAGTGAAGTCATAAAATAAAGGTTTTAAAAGATGCAGTTAAGGGAGCTGGTTACATGAGTGTATACACATCAAAATGCATTGAGCTGTACACTACAATTCATGCCTTTTATTGTATGTTCCTCAATAAGTAAACTTTTAAAAAGATGTAGTTAATGTATATGTATGTAATTTCACATTATTTGCCAAGATACCTTAAAATAATCATTTCATAACTACACAGATATGTAAATCAGCCCATGTCCCCATGTCACACTTCTACTAAAAAATCTGCTGTGACTCCCCATTTCACTCAGGTAAAAACTTAAGGTCTTGTAATGGCCTACAGATCTTTTAAACCATTTTTCTCACCATAACCTCATCTCTTCCCATTCTCTCATCTCGTCAGAGTGGCCTTTTCCCTCATAATCAAACATTCCTGACACATTCCTGCCTTAGGCCTGTGCTCTGGCTGTTCCCTCTGACAAAACGCTTGTTCTCCAGATAGCCATGTGGATAATCTCTTACCTCAAGTCTTGCTCAGATTTCACCTTCACAATGAAGTCTATCTCAACAATGCCTTTAAACCTAGACAAGAAGGTACTGTAGCCTGATCCCCACGCTTGAGTGTCCCTCATATCACAAATGCCATGGATGGACTTGTTCCCCACACCCCCAGTTCATTTGGTGAAGCCCTAACCCACAGTGTGACTCTATTCAGAGAGACAAAGTCTTTAAGAAGGTAATAAGGTTAAATGAGGTCATAAGGATTGGGTTCTCATCCAATAGTACTGTTGTCCTCCATAAGGGAAAAGATACACATGCACAGAGGAAACAAGAAGGCGGCTGTCTTCAAGGCAAGAATAGGCCTCACCAGAAACCGACCACGCTGGTACCTTGATCTTGGATTTCCAGCCTCCAGAACTATGAGAAAATTAATTTCTGTTGTGTAAGCCACCCAGTCTACTGTGTTTTATTATGGCAACCCTAGCAGACTAATACACTGCCCAAAATAATTTTCTTAAAGAATACATGGGTTCTCTGTCACTTGGGATCTGGTGCTAGGAGTGGGCATGATGTGATGCTAAACATCATCTCTTTTGTTGCACCTATCAGCAGCTAACATTCTACATAATTTACCTGTTTCTTATGTTTATTTTTATTGTCTCCCACATTTAGGCTAAAAGCGCCATGAAGGCTTAGTCTATTTGTTCTGTTTAGGATATATCCCAAGTGCCAGAATAATACCTGGCACTTAGCAAGCACTCAGTAACATTTATTGAATACATGTTTGAAAAAAATTTGTTTAAATTCAAATAAATATCCAAATAGTAATTTTAAGTACATAATTTTAGATGAAGTTTGATGGCTTTAATGCCTCTGCATTGCACTGGAGCAGAAATGGATTTATGAAGAAGTGGTAGAGGGAATGCAGGGCTGGCATCTCAGTAAAAAGAATATGGTCAGAATCACACAGAAAGCCTGCATTTGACTACAGACCAAGTAATTGCTATTTTAATGCATTATAGATGTATAAATTTAGTTTTGGAGTGCTTTGCTTTATTAATATGTACATGAATCTTTTAAAAATGTGTTTTTTAATAGATACCTTGAAACCTTGTGGAAGAGGGTAATTCATAGATAATGTGTCCATTAAGTTGTTTAGCAACATCTACTTCTTTTTGCAAAATTGATCACATTAGATTTTAATAAGATTCTTTAATGTAATGTTCTCTTTTAAATCACTGACAGAATTTTAAACCTCCAAAAGTATTTTACTTGACAAACTTTTAGGTCATTGCATTCAAAGATTTGTAAACATCAAAAAATATTTTGGGAGATGATCTTTTCAACCAGTGAAAAGTGTTAAAACAACCCACATTTCCCTTCTTTGCTGTGGAAACTTCATGCTGAGTGTGTCTTGATGTCTTATTTTTGTATGTAAAAAGGACTGTGTTTGTGGGCAGCAGTGTCATTAATTCTCATAAACTTTTTTTTTCCTTTAAGTCTGAATTGTTTTTCTGCTTAGAACAGAAAATATATGCTATAGTGTGGATAAAATTAAAGTTCCTGTGGCCAGGATTCTCACATGGCCCTGGTTGGCCAGCTCACTACACAAGTGTGGGCAGTACATTGTTATTGACTCTATATAAAGTGCCCTGTCCAGTGGCACAGCTGCAAGGCTGCAGGAGAGCAGAGCAGAGGCTGGAGTGGTGGCAGCGCCAAGGACAGCAGCCCAGAGGATGGCTGTGCAGACAGAGGGGCCTAGAGGCAGAGACCAGCTTGCTGCATGCAGACTTGCTCTGAGTGGACCAGATTCTAGTGATTGATCTGCCACGGTGGAAATAAAGTTGGGTATATCCCTTTCACCCCAAGAATGTTCTACTTCCTTTGATCACACTGAATCCATAGTGAACTTCCCCAGGACTGAAAACCATTGGCAAGACATATGTATAATCAATTTAAATACTAAAATAAATATATAAAATAGAAAATGAAATTCTTCTGTGATCCCATCCCAGAGATAATCACTAGTAAGTGATATACATGCCCACAGATGTTTTAGTGCATATATATGACATATATATATATCTATACTAAGTTATTTTTATCACCATTACCATCACTGAAAAAAGAGGGATTTATTTGAGTTCATTATTGAGCCTAATTGTTAGCCAAGTGATTTCTTGCCATTTCTTATTTTAATGGTTAGTATTTGTCTGCCTTAATTCCCAATATGTTCCTGTAGTTAGTAAGTTTGTAATTAACTTTGAGCTATAATTTGTGTGAGCTGTTTATATTAGAAGAGCAAACTAAGTCCATCCTACACAATAAGGCTAAGAAGTAGAAGAAAATTAAGAAAGGTTATCATAAGAAATGGATGTTTGCTATCTGTTCCTGCTTACAAAGCCGAGAGCACAGGGAGTCAGAGCAGATGAAATATTACAGGAACCCTCTAAAGATCACGGCATCCCATTCAGAAGACTAGAACAACAGAGACAGTTCAAGTTGTCAGCTGATTCACAGAACAGAATATTACTTAAGTTCAGAGAAAGAGTTGGCAAGGGCCAGTCAG